AATCAACAATGAAGGTAAACTAGGCAAATGAGAATTCTGAATACACTCCCAACTTTTCTGCTATATGAGTATTGTTTTGTATAAGGACCAAGCATTATTATGAAAGTCCCTTCTGAAAATTCCACTGTCTATCATACCTGTTGATGACTGAAAGAAAATGTAAAAAAGTAATTGATGATTAATAACATAGTAGAAACACCTTAAAATATTTTTATTCCTGTAGGGCAAGTGATTGATAGTGAGTGGTAGTACTAAAAATAATGCAAGTTAAAGTAACCTTCAAATGACATCTTTCAAATTAAAAAACAAGGTGTATAAGAACAAATCAATGTTCAACAAGAATATTTTTGCTACTCACTATGCATTTAGGTATCAAAAGATTAACATTTGCTTCTTTCTGCCATTAATACAACTATTCTACTTAGCTATTGCTGCTTAGCTAATCCAGTTATCATGACAATGTTCCAGCACATAGCTGAATGTATGGGGCAAACTAGGAATTCAGAAACTGTTGTACAAATGAATGAATGAATGAACTGTAAATAGCTTGGAAAAAAGGCAATAAGATGGATCCATTTTTTTCCTTCATGGATGTCCTATATAAGGATAATAATTACTGTCCTGAGGCCCTCACTTTGACAATTTAGAGATAAAGATCTTAGCTGGTGTAATTTTAATCCAGTTATCATTTGGGAGAATTTAAATGATTTCATCTTACATTATAAAAGCCTAATTTACAATGGTTCTCAGAGTAACAATATTTTGAATAACATGAAACAAAGAATATTCGTGATGTTATTTTGGGGTGATTATAAAGCTAAAATAAGAATAATTCTATTCACCATGTCAAGTAATTCATATGCTGTAGGAGTTAGCATTCTAGCTATATTGTCTTTCTTTTGAATAAATTAATAATTAACAAACAAACATTCAGAGTTTCCAAGGTCTGAGTCACATAGAACCTGTTAGGTCCTTTTGGACAAGTATTATAGATAAAAGGTGGGAAACTAATTAAGAGCAGGTGGGAAAACAACAACACAGGCTCAGTGGAGATCATCTACAAAATCAAGGTAGTCTGCTAACAAAATTAAGCAATAAAACATTAGATTTGTTAATATATATTTGTACATTTTATGTTTAAAAGAGTAACTACATTAAAATGGTAGTTAGGTTAAATGCAATATGTCCAGTGTTAGATTCTGGAACAGAGAAAGGTTAGAGCAAGTAAGTTCGCAGCTTAGGGCTGGGATGTAGCTCACTGGTACATGCTTGAGGCTTGAGGCTCTGAGTTCAATCCCTAGCACTGCAAAAAAGAAAAATAAAGTTTTATTTTTAGTTAATAATATTACACCAACATTAACTTTTTCACTTTAAGAATAGTTACATAATATGTTTACATTAGAAGAAGGTAGGCAACGGATATATAGGAACTCTTTGGGTTATCTTTGTAACTTCTGTAAATTAAAAATCATTGCAAAAGAAAATATTTTAAAATTTAGCTTAGGGGCATTCTGGTTTATATTGAAACTGAATCAAATGAAATAAAATTGTGAGTTACACCAATTGGTCATTTGGAACTATTATAGCTAATATGTAAGATTCTCTAGTGCCATTAAGTTTAACGGTTTGCCATTAAACTTTCATCTGAGAATCCATGGAGAAGGCATTCTCTTTTTATAGCAGAAGTATTTTCATTCAGTAATGACTTCTGCTTCTAATTTCATGGGACATTTCACCTCATGTTAATTTTAGTTGTACATTATAAAGGGGACAATGTCCAGATTCACAATGTTTTGTGTTCTTTTTCTACCTGGTAACCAGAGCCATACTAAATACTTCAGGCTCTGAGCATGTTTTGTTCAAGATAAATATTATGCTTTCTCCTTTGTTTCCAGCACACAATCAGTCTCAGCATTTTGAGATAACCATTTCTCGTTTATTTTTATTTGATGTTATGATTTTCCCATATATGTATATAATATGGGAAAGAAAATGGATATGTTCATTAATAAAAAATAAGCATTACAACATTAAGTACATTAGGTCAACATTATCTGACATAAAATCAGATAGTAATTTTAATGGCAGCAAATGTCATCAAGACTCATTTAAAACATTTAACAGTAACAACCCAAAGTCCTGATTAAATAAGTTTGCCAATGGAGACAAATATCTGATAATATTTGTGTTACTATTCAACATTAAAGTAATCCATACAGGCAAAATACATATACCAATAACAGGTTCTATGGCAAGTTCAGCTTCACTGATGGTGAAGAAGGAGAGGTCCAGTAACAGTGAAGGGAGTCGAGACAGACAGTTTACACATCGTCTACTTGACAGGTGAGGGGACTGTCACGTTGAGGTGTGAAAAGGATTCTAGAAATTAATAATCTCAGCCTGCTCAGATCCTCTTGCCCAAGCCGAGCTAGGGCAACTTTCCTAATCTCACAGAGAGGCGCGCTTCAAGTGACAGCTGGGTTAAAAAGCAACACAAAAAAACTTGGCTTCCTGACTGGGAGACACTACGCTCTCACACTTGATGACAAGTTTCTGTCCTCCACTACATACAGCATTCTCACAGATCTGTGAGCTTGGTAAATTTTTTTTAAATAATACTTTTGTGCCACCAGTTTAATTCAGTTTCCTGAAGCTTCAGTTTTGGCTGGCGATTACTCAACTCGTGATTGAACAGCTTTTTCTTCTGTTGAGTTTCCGTGGTTGTATTTCTGTAGGTGGAACCTCATAGTTTCCTCCACTAGCATAAACATTGGGCCAAAGCGCTCGGTCTCCAGTTCCATTCCATTCAAAATGTTAATTCCTGAGGCACCTACTCTGCTTCCTGCACTTCTTCTACGTTATTTCAGCGCCTTTATTTCGCTTTACCTGCAAAGACAAGCCATCTCTATCCGCCTCCCTGGGAGTTGGAGGGAAGATCACGGACCCCAACTACCAGCAACGCACAGAGCGCATGCGCCTCTTCCGGCCCCCAACACTCCACACCGCGCATGTGCCAGTCCGTCGGCGGCCTGTGGTGACGTAGAAAAAGCGTCGCACTAAGGTTGGCGCGGCTTCGGCGGCGGGCAGTCCTGGCTGGTCGTAGGCATGGTGCATTGCGGTTGCACGTTGTTTCGAAAGGTCCGTACCTGGTGCCCTCACTCCACGTCAGGGCCCTGTGGCTTCCTCGCTCCCCTTTTCGCTTTGGGGCCTCCTTTCTGCTTGGTTTTGCAGTTCTCTCCGCCCCTCCCGAAGTCGGGCTTTGCCAACTGGGGGTCGGAAGGGTGTGTCCATGACATGATCAGAAGGTTTGTTAGTCTTTTAAATATCCTCAGCCACTTTTTATAGGTATCCCCTTCAGTGCACTGTTTTTAAGGTATTTTTAAAGAAGACTTACCAAAAAACAAAGATGTGTAATTGCGGTGCTTATTACAGAAAATTTAGGTTAGTTTTTATATAGTGTCGGTCTTGGAATACTTTCCATAAAAGTTGACAGCTGCTTCCATTTCTCCAAGTAAATAAAACCCACGGACAACCCCCCTCTCAACCTATAAAGGCTTTACTAGTAATGCTTTTTGAAGGATTTTTTTGGGGGGGGAGCAGTACTGGTTTGAACTTAGGGCCTCATACTTGCTAGGCAGGCGCTCTTCCACTTAAGCCCTCTAGTAATGCTTCTTGAAAGCCTGCCGGCATCACATTTTGGTCATTACCTTATTTCGAAGGGCCACTGTAAGATATTATTTTTAAGCTTACGAATTGGATGAATCTATAGAAGTGAAAAAGTCAAATATTAAATGGAACTTAGAAAGCCCTCCTCAGCAATATGATGAATAGTCAGAACAGTCACTGTTTCAATTTTTGAAATTCCCAGATATTTTTGATACTTACAGCTATCCTAAATGACTAAAAATGTGTTGATTATCAAAGAAATTACTCTATTGTGATAGTCTGGGAGGTTAATATTGCAAGGAATTGTTTAAATTTAAACAATTGAGGAAAACGAGCTAAATACAGTATAAGGTTTGAAAGGTGTAATAATAGAGATAAAATCAAATTGCTAAGAATGCCAGCAAAAGTCAGGGGAAGCACTGATGAAAGGAATTAAGAAATCCGTTCCTTTAGTGCTTTCTGAAATAATGGAACCATATTTTGAACCACATTTTGGCTCCATTATTTTAAAGTACATTTAAATTAAGGTGGGTCAATGATGGAAAAGAACAAATGGCATTCTAAATAGAGGAAAAGCATAAATAGAGTGGCATAGAGAGAAAACAGAGCATCATATAGAAAAGAAAAGAGAAAGAGGAGAATGAGAAGTGTTACACCAATGAAAATCCTGGGATGGCTGAAGAAGGGCTTTGTATACAGTATTATGAACTTTAGCCATTAAATAATAAAAAAACCCAAAAAGTCATGGTGGTTGTGAGTAGGGGAGAAACAAAATTAGAGATCAGATTCATTTCAGAAAAACAGCACTTATAAACAAAATGAAGGATGCATCACAGATGGAATGACTAGACACTGAAAGACCATTTAGGAGTTAACGTATTGGTCAAGGTTCTCAGGCAGAGATATTGGATAAGAGAAAGTAGGACTTCTGGGAAAGAAGTAAGTATAGTCTGAAAGACAACTATTTGTTCAGTATCAATGAATAGATAAACTATAATTTCCATTATTTGAGGAAACATTGGAGGGGTAGAGTTTGTGTGGAGCACTTGATTTTGTTAACATTTGTTTTTGAGGTGAGTATTATCCATTCAACTGATACCTACCAGATTATATTAGGGGGTTTTCAAATAGAAGTGAAGTACAGATCCTCCCTCACTTGCTTTAAACTACTCAAAGCTTAATCCTCTTGGAGAGCTCCAATACACTGGATGTAGAAAATATTTCACCTAGATGAAGAAAATATTTCACCTAGATGATAGTTACTGGTATAGGCTGAGATTGCCGGGGAAAGAAATTTAGAATGAAAAGGAGTCCAAAGTCAGAGACTGTGAAGATAAATGGGACAATAATTGATAATTGAAAAAAGAGGGTCCTAAAAGAGATGAATGGGAAAAGAAAGTGATACAGGGTGTAAGGTAAGAAAAGGCTATAGAATTGGTATACAGAAGCCATTATTGATTCTTTCTTTAAAAAAGTCTTAGTAGAACAAAACTAGAAAGGATGTCTATGTGGATAAACACATTTTATATACAAATGTTTCTCTCTCTTTCTCTTAAGTATGGAAATTTTATCGATAACCTGAGACTCTTCACCAAGGGAGGAAGTGGTGGAATGGGTTATCCTCGCTTAGGTGGAGAAGGTGGAAAAGGTGGTGACGTCTGGGTTGTAGCCCATAAAAAAATGACATTAAAACAACTCAAAGACAAATATCCTCAGAAACGGTTTGTGGCTGGAGGAGGGGCAAACAGTAGGTAAGTGCTTACTGAATGACTTTAATTTTATAAAATCAAACCTTTCTGGAAGAAAAAAAGTCTTAAAACTGGTAATTTTAAGTAAATGATTTACTATATTTGTAACCGGGCAAAAGTCTAAAGTGTCAAAACTCATAAAAAGCTGTTACTAAGTATTTTTTGGGTTTTAAAAACTTTATTCATTTCTTCTGACAGAAAATGATCTGAATCCCTGTTATTTTTTTCTAAGCTTACTTTAGACAACCTTTAGGAGACCTTTCTAAAATTTGAACTATGTTACCCCACCCCATCACCATGAAATATCAATCACTTACAATTCTTTCACCCAGAAATGATTGCTATTAATCTTTTCTTGACTTTCTAAGACTTTTATGTGTGTACAAGTGTGATCAGGTATATATGTATAAAATCCAGCACCAAAAGAAGAAAAATGAGAGCACAGTATTTTACAATCTCTTCTTTTTACTGAAGTTTTTTCATGTCTGAAAATTATTCAAAATGTTGTATCTTATTATAGAACCTGAATCAACAATTTATTTTTATCACTTGTTCATTTAGGTTATTGTTGATTTCTGTTTGGTTTGGTTTTGTTTGCTGTCATAGCCACAATGTGACATCCGTATGTACATATTCTTAACACAGTTATTCAGTTTTTTAAATAAATTTCCAGAAGTGTAATTACTAAGTGAGAAATCTATACTCTCATAAGAAGTTTCAGAGTAGCTTTTTGTAATTTAAGTACTGTCATTAAATTTCATGGATTTTCTAAGTTGTCGCCGCCCCCCCCAACTTATTTGTATTGTAACAATGATCTCTGTTTTTCAGACATTCAATACATTAGTTTATTTTGGATTAAAATGACTTTTGGTGGTTAGTTTGTTAACTTAAATCATTAGCATTTATGTAGGATACAGTAAACTAAAGTACAGCAAATAGGGATAATATGGGTTTTCCTTTAATATTTGACTATTTAATATCTGCATTAGCAGAAGAGTTGATTGCTGTTCTTTGTAAGCCATTATATTTGCTTAAAGAAGTATAAACCAGCCGGGCACCAGTGGTTCATGCCTATAGTCTTAGCTATTCAGAAGGATCAGGGTTTGAGGCCAGTCCCAGGCAAATAGTCCCAGAGAACCTATCTCAAAAATACCCAACACAAAACAGATGGAGTGGCTCAAGTGGTAGAGTACCTGTCTAGCAAGTGTGAGGTCCTGAGTTCAAGCCCCAGTACCACAAAAATTAAAAAAAAAAAATAGTATATAAAGTATTTGTGGATTTCCCTTATTTTAATTTAGGGTTTTTGTTTTTTTGGTTTTGGTAGGGTCAGTGCATTGAAAGGCTCTAAAGGAAAAGACTGTGAAATCCCTGCACCTGTAGGTATTTCCATAACTGATGAAAATGGCAAAATTATAGGTGAGTGTATTGATGAAGGGTTTTGGGAAATAGCTTGCCTTGAGTTTCAGAAGAATTTTTTTAAACAATAATTTTTGCTGCTAACTTACAAAAAAGAAAAATATCATATTATTGATTTCATTTATTAATCTTTGCTATAAGTATTTTTCTCCTTCTTTTAAAGGAGAACTCAATAAAGAGGAAGACAGAATTTTGGTAGCTGAAGGTGGCCTTGGTGGTAAATTACTTACAAATTTCTTACCTTTGAAAGGCCAGAAACGAGTAATTCACCTTGATCTAAAACTTATAGCAGATGTAGGCCTAGTAGGGTAAGTACATATTTTTATTTTACTTTCAGAGACAGTTCATGAATAAGAAATAAATGTAAATAGTAATTTGCAGTCAGAATTATTGGTAGTTTATGGAATTTGTGTGCTGTACTTTGAGGATATGCTGCTGAGAATACAGTTGGCAGTTTAACAATGAAGTAGTTGGGGTGCCAATCCCATCACTACTACCCCTGCAGTCAAAAATCTAGATAGAATTACTAATAGTCTTCTGTTAATCAGAAGCCTTATGGATAGCAAAAATAGTCAACATGTATTTTCTGTATGACGAAAAGTATATAAGAACTGCAAGAGATCACTTTTTACCCTGATAGGCAGTTTATCAGACAGATAAACTACTTTTGTGCAGATGATTAACATCATGTTTTAAGTGGGTATTTGCAACACTTGAGCTCACTGCAATAGTACCAGGAGGTGGCTATGGAATTTTTACAGTAATTCAATATGTCCTACATTTAATTGTATGCCGTTATGATTTAATACTGCATCTTTTTGTTACATTTCTCTTAACTGTGAATGACACTGGGTATGATCTTTGTGATGGTCTTGATTGTCAACTCGGTTACACTGAAAAGCACCTAGAACATAAGTAAATGTTTGTGAGGGCATTTCCAGAGAGGATTAACTAAGGGAGAAAGACCCACTATTAATGCTCGCAGCACCATCCCATAGGCTGAGGGCCTGGATGGAACAAAGAGAAAAAGAAGAAAGCCCACTAGTGCAGACTTTATTTCAGTCTCTCTGTCTAGGTCTGTCTGTGTCTGTCTCTGTTTCTCCCTCCCTTTCTCCCCTGCCACCCCTGCTCATCCTTCTTGCCTATCATGATATGCTCTCTTCTGCTTTGCCATGTCCTTCCACCATGATGGACTGAAACCTTTGAAACTATGAGTCAAAATATATTTGTTATTCCTTCAAGTGGGGTTGTTGCTCTGACTACCTAACCATGTAGTTCAGAAGTTTTTAGAACTGGTTTGTGGGAGGAATTTGAAAAAGTTTGGAAAAATGGGCTATAGAAAGTCAAGAATGCTATAAGCTCAGCTTAATGGGAGATTTGGGAGCTCAGAAGAACAGAATGCCAATAGGAATGTGGACAGCAAAGACTGTTGATGAAGTTTCAGAATTCGACTAGAGGCCATTTGTATCACATTGTGGTAAAGAGCCTGCCCTGAGACTATGAAGCTGGGTTTAAAGGTCATGGACTGATTAATCTGATGGAGGAAATTTCAAGGCAGCCTAGCATTCCAACTGTGGCATGGTCATTGCTAACTGCTTTTAGCCAACTTTATATAGATAATTGTGAGCAAAATCAGAGCAGAAATGTTTGGAAAATGCAGTTTGGCCAGAAAAGAAGCCTGTGTAAAACTGGGGCCAAGGAAAGTGGAACTGGTGAAAAAATTAGGACCATTTAAAAGAAGGCAAGTACTTTGGATTGGGAAGATGTTGCTTTGAGAAGAAAACTCTGGGGCCACCCAGAAGTGTTTCCTCCCTGTTCAACCATCCAGGCACTCAAAGGCTGCTGCAAGTCCTGGTCCAAGAAGGCCTGGCTGCTGCTTGAGCAGCAGACCTTGGCATCATTCATGCGATGCTGGTTTTGGAGACATGCAGATGCAACAGTTACAGGGCCATTGAGGCTTCCACCAAGTTTTCTAAGGAAAGCCTGGGAGGGCAGGCAATGTGTGGCAGAGACAGGATCCTTGTAGGCAGCCTCTGAGAGGGCGATGCACGAAGCTGTGAAAGTGACAGGCAGGAGAGACAGCCAAAGAGGAGCTATGCAGGCAGCAAAGAGCAAGACTGGAGTGGCACCACTGTTCAAGCCCTTTGCAACTCACCTCACACCACCATGCGCCCCAGATGCCAGGTGTGGAGCTAGCTACAGGATGTAATGTTTGCCCTACTGGGGCTGGGTCTTGCTTTGGTCCCATTCCTCCTTTCCATTCCCCTGTCTCCTTTTTGCAATGCAGATGTTTACTTTGTACCACTGTAGTCAGAAGTATGTAACTTTTTATATACTTGCTTTTTAAGTTTTATAGGGACTCACAGTCAAGAGTTTCTCTTGAGTCTCAGGAAAGACTTTGGAGTTGGGCTTTTTGAACAGTGTTGAAACTGTTAAGACCATGGGGACTCGAGATAGACTTAATGCATTTTACGTTTTGAGCCTTTGGGGCCCGTGGGTGGTATATTATGGTTCGAACTTAAAATGTCCCCCAAATATACACTGTTGAAGGCTTGTTCCTCAGCTGGTGGAGTTATTTGAGGTTCTGGAAACTTTGAGGAGGTGGGGCTTCCCTGGAGGAAATAGGTTACTGGGGACATGTCCTGGGGGACTATATTTTATCTCATATCCCTCTCTCTGCCTTCTGTCCATTGTGATGTGAGTAGCCTCTCCCACATGTTCCCACTGCCATGTTCTGCCGGTATTGTCCTCTTCCACCAGTCTCCATTCTTTTATTAAACAATGCTATTTAGCTGTAGGGTTTCCAGTGCTGATACTCACTGAAGAAGGCTGCATAGCAAGGTAGAAAGCAGATAAGGGAAGAAAAAAACTTAAATTTGCTTTTCTGTTCTCTCTTGTCATCCTCTTCCTAGACCCCTAATACAGCATTGCAATTATTCAGGTAAAAAGCTTAAAGAAAAGGTAGGGAAAATTGCCTTATTGGTGCTATACTCCAAATTTCTAGTCTGTTCCTTTCCCAAAGGAATATCTCACCTCTTCTTTAAGTCTAAATTCCTTACCCTCCCTGACCAGCTACTAGGTGTTAACCACCGTTGACTTAAGAGTTCCCAGATGCCTCATCCTGCTAAAGTTATAACAGGGGAAGATGTAATCCTGGCTTTCCATTTACATTTAATTTTTAAATAAAACATAGTTATGAGAGATATGCATAACTTCTGTAGTCTATATTCTTAATAGGGTTTTGTAGACAAGACTGGGAGTCTAGCCATTCACAGTCTCATTTGGTAGAAGAATGTGTTTCACATTCTAAAGAGACACCTTTACAGACTAAGAAGAGGCTGAGTAGTAACGGTATGGGGTTCAGGTTAGATTATTTGGGTTAGAATCTCAAATCTTCCAGAGGCTGGCAGACTGTTATAGATAAGTTATACAGCCTTTCTTAGCCTGTGTTTTCTCATCATTAATAGTAGATGGAGAGAGTTATCATCTTAAGAGGTTTGTAAGATAATGTGTTAATGTATGTTCAGTGAATTGTAGTGCTGTCATCACAATTGCCAATTTATTGGAGACTTCATGTAGTGAATACTGGACTTTTCAGAATTAGGTTTAAAACTGCAGTCTGTAATTAAAGCACCAAAGTTATTAAGCAGAATGTTTAACCTGTGTATAAAGCTTTTAGCTGGCTTCAGGAATGAATTGAACCTTACATGAAAGTTATGTAATTAGTGCACTGTACTGCTGTTCTCACATTTGATATTTGCATAGGTTAGATTTTAGCCTCTAAAATTTTAATTAGGTACATGCAAGAAAAATCTCAAATCTATTGTTCAGCCATTAGCATCCTTCTTGTACTCATACTTTCTAGAATTTATAAATTTTTATAGAATTCCAAAGTAATATTTATAAACCATGACACCATTATTCCAAATGAAAGTTTGGCAGGCTTTTGAAAGCGCTTCCTCAAATATGAATGAAAATTCTGAAGGCAGAGATTGTGTTTGTTTCATGCTGTATTTCTGATGCTTAGTGTACTTATTGCCTGATGTAGTCAGTGCTCAATAAATGTTTGTTGGAGAAACTTAGTGAAAATATGTGAGTGAGAGTTAGAAAGACTCTTAAGTGACTCCTCTTCTAACTACTTTTTAAAAATACATGATTTCCCTTTCTTGAGGGGAAATTTAGCAATAAAATCAAGAGCCTTTAAAATGAGCATATATTTTAATGCAGTATTTCTTCATGTAGAAATCTACCAAGAAAGAAATTAAAGATATGTGCAAAGGTTTAAGGCTAGCCACCGCATTGTTTAAAGTTTTTAGAAAAAAGACAAGTAATATACGCATTTGCAGAAAGAAATGTATATTAATCTCACCACTCCAAAAAATGCTTATTACCAATGTATGTCTTTTTAGCTGTATCCATGTTTTTGCAAATGTTGTTCATAATCACAAAAGTTAGAGGCAATGTAAATCTCTATAAATAAAAAATTAGTTAAAAAATTGTATTTCATCGTTGAAAGGTGTTCATCCTAATGTTACTCGGTAAAAGGAACCCAACCAACAATTATGAAGTAGTCTTTAAAAAAAAAAAAAGAATTTATAACTACCAATTTATAGAAAATACAAGGCAAAGGAACATGTTAAATGATACCATGTAAATATCAGTAGAAAAATTCAGACTATGGAAAAACTGTAGGACAAATGACCCAGTTTCTTAAAAAATAAATTGCAAAGGAGAAATAAGATGGAAGAAAAGCTTACATCAAAAGAGATTTAAAAGATCCAGCTAATTGTAATGTTGGGACCTTATTTGGCTCTCTACTTAAACCAGATTTTAAAAATTATATTGGTAATGTGTTGGTATTTGTTGGAGCAAGATGATGATTAGATTGGATACATTACTTTTCTCTACTTTTGTATGTCTTTGAAGTTTTTTTAAAATTTTTTAAAGGCCATGCAAAATACAATATGAGTAATATTTTGTCAATGTTTGGTTAGAGAGCAGATTGCAGTTTTTGTTTTGTTTGTTTTTGTTTCTTTTGGTTTTTTTAGTGAAGGTTTTTCTTTACATAGAGTAGCAGTTACTTTACTCTCATAATTCTGAAATATTTTCAATGTCTAGTGTAAATTTATCTTTACCATTTCCGTAAGCATGTTTTGTCCTCAAGTTTTTTCAAGACTATTTTAGATTTATATTCTATGTTTTGGTGCTAGAGGGATTAAACTTAGGTCCTCACTCATCTAAGTATGCAGTATACCACTGAGATACTCAATATTTTACTTTTAGTTCCAGTAATATTTAAGAAGCCTATTTTTTGAATTGTTGAGAATTCAGAAATAAGCAATCATTAGTAATATTGATATTTATTGTAATGGATAGCTGTGTTTACTCATTTCAGATTCCCAAATGCAGGAAAATCCTCTTTGCTAAGTCAGGTTTCTCATGCAAAACCTATGATTGCAGATTATGCATGTAAGTACAATTTATGTATTTTAATGTGTGGACCAATTTTCCTCTGAGTATAAATAAAATGACAACTCCTGAGGATAGCCTTAGTTTGAAAATTTTTAGCAATTAGAATGCATGCATTTCTTTTTAATTTTTGGAATCTCTAAGTTTCTTGTACTTGTTAGTTTGTTACATTTATTTTTCTTATGCATAATTATTTGTTTTCTGTAGGATTTTATAGGCTACTTGCCTTTTTTTAAGCACTGCGATTAATACTAGGAAGGCACAGATGGATACTTTAACTCATTTTGCAAGTACTTATTTCTAGGAACCACGTTGGGGTCATAAGGTTACAAAGCCTGGTAAGCAGAACCAGCTAATGTTCTGACATTAACTGCACTTAACAGACAAGTGGGGAAAGGCATACGTATCACTAATGAGTATAAGGAAATATAAAAGTGTTCTATGAAAGAGCATAGACAACTGCTTGAGATTTCCTTAGGAAGTGTGATTCTTGAGCTGAGATATGATGAATAATTGGAAGTGAAGGGTCTTTAAATCAGAGGAAACAGCTGATACACAAAGGCTCAGTAGTGGGAGATTTGTGTGTCTAGAGAACATGAAGTAAGGGAAAGAAGGAATTGAGGTGAGGTGGAAACCATATCACATAGACCAATATTTCACTTTATTAATAATCTTAAGAATAATTGGAATTAAGGGCTAAAATATTTAGATTTGTTTTTTCACATGTTCTCTCTGGAGGGTTGGGGGATATGACTTAAGTGGTAGAGCATGAAGCCCTGAGTTCCACCCCTAGTACCTCAAAAAAAAAAAAAAAAAAAACAAGTTCTCTCTGTCTATATTGTAGAAATTGGTTGGCATGGGGCATTAATGGGTCTGGGAATACTAGTAGGCTATTATAGTAGCTAAATGAGATATAATGAAAGCTTAGGTTAAGAGTAGTGAGTTAATATGACAGGATTTCTGCCATTATTAAACAAAAAGACTTTAGAACACCATTAACCAGGAAAATGAAATTAAACCATTCAAAAATTATACTGATCAAGTAGAGTTAGTTCAGGACTAACTGCTATAAATTACATGGTCAGTATTAGTTAAAATACATAGGACACTTGAGAAGGAAAGGAGGAAAAGCAAAAAGTCACAGGAAAGCACCTAGAGTAGGATGGAAGGCTTAAAAGTAACGGCACAAGAAAAGATCAGAAGAATTTCCCCTAAAGGCCTAGAGATAGAAACCTAAATTCTGAGGTCCCTAAACTTCATTACCATGCTCCTTAAAGTACAGCAGAACATTGAGGCCCAGTAATTAGGTTAGTCTTCTGCGTATGCAGATGATAAAAATCTGTATGTGTCGTTTTTCAAGTACGTTGTAAATGACAATGATAATGGTAGCTTCCATTTCAACAAATTAGAAAAAAGCTGAATGAAACTGTTCACAAAAATAAAATATGATTTATTCTAGACATAATGTTAAGACAATTTTGAGAGAACTAGTCTTCATTTTGGCCTTATTTTATCATTCTTCCTTTCAGTTACAACATTAAAGCCTGAACTTGGAAAGATTATTTATAATGATTTTAAACAGGTAAGGATTTTTTAAGTAAAACACTAGCTTAAAAGTGAAAGTACTTTGTTTTGGTACTAGGACTTCATAATATTTTCCTTTGCCTGTGGTCTTAGGGAAAGAAGTAGTAAGATTTTATTTTATGAAAAATGAAACTATGGTCAAATTAATTATGCTCCGTACTGTCATAGTAAAATACTGTGTAAGAATTTAATTTCTGTTCTTCCAAATGTTATGTCCAGTCTATCCCTATCATACTATGTCTTCCTTAATCTCTGTTTCTTAATACAAGAAGTATTGATTGTCTGTGTTTTACTACCATAGCAGATTATTGATCTCCATTTCCTAGTAACAGTTTCTAAAGTTCATGGAAATAATTTTATTCCCACTTTCTTTTGTGGGGGGAAAAACTTTCATGGCGTTTTGAGCTCATCTAATTATTAAAATTTATTTTTCTTTGATATGGAAGAACTATAGATCTTTCTGCCCACATAAAAGCCTTTATGTGGATATTTATAGTAGCTTTATTCATAATTACCTAAACTTGGAAACAGCCAATATATCTTTTAGGAAGTCAAGGATAACTAAACTGTGTTACATCTAGAAAATGGAATATTGAGCTGTAAAAATAAATGGGCTATCCACGAAAAGGTATGGAAGAATCTTGAATATATTACTAAGTGAAAGGAACCAATCTGAATAAGCTATATACTATATGATTCCAACTATTTGACATTCTAGCAAAAGCAGAACTATGGAGAAAGCAAAGATCAGTTGTCAGCAGGATTAAGGAGGAAGGAGAGATGAATGGGCAGAATACAGAGACTTTTTAGGGTAGTGAAACTATTCTGTGTGATAATGCAGTGGGATACATCTTTCAAAACACACAAAGTATACAACACTAAGAATGAATCCTAACGTAAAGTATGAACTTTAAGTGATAATGATGTGTCAGTGTAGGTCCATATAATTCTCTGACATAATTCTGAAGATAAGAAAGGTTTATATTTATTGTTAATAGTGACATAAGTGGAAAATAAAATATTAATTAGTGTAAGATAGAATATTATAGTAAGTAAGCTTGTATATACTACATTGTATAATATCTATTAGCATAGATTCATTGTAGAAGGGAGATTCATTGTAGAAGGGAGATTCATTGTAGAAGGGAAATTCATTGTGACAATTCTGGATAGCCTTACATTGTACATTGGTTAGATCACTCAAGAACATTTTTTATACCTAACTTTTTTTTGGTGGGGGGGAGCGGTACAGGGGTTTGAACTCAGGGTCTCACATTTACTAGTCAGGTGCTCTACCACTTGAGCCACTCTGCCACCTCTTTTTGCGTGTGTGTGTGTTCAGTTTTTTCAAGATAGGGTCTCATGAACTATTTACCTTAGTTGGCTTCAAACTTCGATCCTCCTGATCTCTGCCTCCTGAGTAGCTAGGATCACAGGCGTAGACACTAGCATCTGGCTATACCTAATTTACAAGAGAAATCAATAGAGAACCTCTAAAGAAACTTTCAGGACATGAGACCTCCATTGTGTACACTTCTTTGTCATATAGCCACAACTTACCTTTATGACTCTGAAGTTCTTATCCACACTGAGCAATGGATATAGAGCACTGCTTCTCTCCCCTTTACTGCACATCAAAATCATCTGGATGACCCTTAGAAGAACAGCATTAATAAATTGCTCCTGGGGCCTAGAGATTCCAAACTAAATCTCTTGGGGGTAGGGCCTGGCCATCTGTTATTTCTAGGAGTTTGCTAAGTGACTATGATCATACACAGTAAGGTTTATAAAGCACAAGAGTAGAGTAATGGCTAATAATTCTTATCACCTCCAGAAGTATAGGGATGCTACATTCTTTCACTTGTAAGAACAGTCAGTAATTCTTTAAAACTTAAAGCTATAGGGCTATACTGAGTAAATATCTGCTACATATTATAATGTCCCCATAAGCTTTAATGAATTCAGAGTATAAAACATGTTAAAAAGAAAAAAAATCCAAAGAGTTGAAATTCTATAAAAAATTCATAATTAACAATACAGTTTATGGAATTACAGACTTGAGTGATTAGTAAGTGAAAGCAGTAAATGTTAAACCAATCCCCCAAATTCATAGATTGTTAGATTAATAAATTAAAATGGGACTCTAGTATAGCAAAGAATTTTTGATTCCTTACATTTATTTTACTGTAAAGATATCTCTTGGCTTTTCAAAGATGTAGTAGAGATCGTAAATCAGGAACTGTGTGTATTTGAAATATGAAAATGTTAGCATATAATTGAGCTTTGGTTTTGATTATTTTTCTTTCTTATTAACTTTTTACTAGATATCAGTAGCTGATCTTCCAGGTTTGATAGAAGGAGCTTATATGAACAAAGGAATGGGCCACAAATTCCTCAAGCACATAGAGAGAACTAGGCAACTACTTTTTGTTGTAAGTCCCACATATCAATGTGATGTTTAAACGAATGAACTTAGTTTTCCTAGAAATATTTTACAAGTAGATTTAAAAATACAGTCATGTACCACAATCATGTTTTCATCAGTGATGGGCTGTATGTATCTTATGTTGCTACCATAAGATTGTATTGAATAATGACCCCACAGCTATCTTAGTTTGATCTGTAAACACACTCTGTGATGTTCACACAATGATGAAATCATTTAATGCATTTCTCAGAGTGCATCCCCATTGATAAGACTTAATTCCTTAAGATTTCTGTCACACTATTAAGTTAGTCTCTCTTATATATTGTTGATGATATTTGAATAGTATATATATGAAATTGTCTATATTGGTATAAATTATCTTACCTATTACAGTTTTTATTTTATTAATGGGTGTCATTTTATCAGAATAACTAGTTATCTTGATACCTCAGTTTCTGTTATTTATTTTAAATTGCTAGATTATAGTAGAATGTAGATTGAGAAATTATTTTTAACTTGAAAGAATAAAGCATTTCAAAGCATAGAAACGTGTAACCATTCTTATGTTAAAGACTGTATTTCCCTTCTTTTTTAGGTTGATATTTCTGGATTTCAACTTTCTTCCAGAACTCAATACAGAGCTGCCTTTGAAACCATAATACTGCTTACAAAAGTAGAGTTTTCTGTTTTACTGTCTTTTCTATCTATTGTAATATGTAAGCATGTAACATAGTAACTAGAATAAGTACATTTTCCACCTTTTTAAAGATTTTATATCAATTAACAAATTACACTTGACATCTCCAGTTCTTCACTATTCACCTACTCCTCAAACTATTGCAATGGTAAAACTTTCCTGGACTTCTAAATCCCTAATGCATACTTCTCACATTTTCTCATTCTTCAGCTTTGCTGTGTCTATTTCTTCTTGAAACATTTCTCTTTTCTTAGCTTCATCAACCATAATTTCCTGGTTTTATTCCTACTTCATGGACTGTTTCTCATTGTACTTTTTAGGTTCCTTTCTATTCATTTTTTACTTTATTGGTGGTGCTTGGGATCAGACCAGGTCCTCACAAATGGTAGGAACTGTTTGTAAATCAATACCTAGTACCCAGATCTTGTGATTGTGCTTTATGTAAGATACTTGTTGGGAATTTTTGATTGGATGTCTTATCAATATTCATAAAATGAGGTTTTAGTTTTTTTTAAAAAAAACCAAAAAACTCTATCTCTAGACCTTTATTGAGTATATAAGCCAGAAACCTGGGTGGTGTTCTCAATTCTGTCTTCTCACCACCTGCATGAAGCTCTGTCAGTTTTATATCCTGAATCTCTGAAAGGAATCCACATGCCTTCAACCATAGTTACAATCATCAGCCCCTTTCACTGGAATGTATCTGATTCTGTCTTGTCTCTGTACATCCAGTCTTGCTTCTCTCTAGTCCATTTTTATGTGGCAGCTAGAGTGATCTTTGTAAGAGAATCAACCTCATGTTTGTTCCCTACTTAAAACACTTAGATTGTCTCCTGTTGATGTTGGGTTAAAGTCAAATTTCACCATGATCTGTGAGGTCTAGTAAATTTGGGCTCTTACCTAGTATCTCTTCCTCCCACTTCTTCCCTTACAGGCTACATTCCAGCTGTATGATTTCTGTGTAATACAATATGATGTTGTTTATGATGTAATACAATATGATGATGTTCCCAGAGTTTGTAGATCATGTTTTGTTTGCCTCATGTTACCTGTGATGGGTAACATGTAATGGTTGCAGGTAATGTTGCTATGAACATTTGTGTAAAGGTTTTTGTGAAGACATGTTTTCATTTCTCTTGGATATATACCTACTAGTGGAATTGCTGGATCATATGTTAACTCTCTGTTTAACATTTTGAGGTACTGCCAGACTGTTTCCCAAATTGGCTATACCACTGTACCATTTTACAATCCAACCAGCAGTGTGTGAAGGTTCTTGTATTTGACATCAATGTTAATACTTGTTATGGTCTTTTCTTTGTGGGGGGAGTTGTTTTGTGGGGTTTTTTGGTGGTACTGGGGTTTGAAGTCAAGGCTCCCTGCTCGCAGGGCTGGTGCTCTACCACTTGAGCCATGCCTCCAGCCCATTTCTGTCATTTTTATTTTAGCCATCTTAGTGGAAGTGCAGTGTCATTTCATTATGATTTTGATTTGTATTTCTCTTATGATTAGTGATGCTGAGCGTATTTTCATGTGTTTACCAGTCATTTGTATGTCTTCAGAGAAATGTCTATTCAGATTATTTCCCTGTTTTTTTAAGTTTATTTTTTAACTGATACATAAAAACCTAAAAACTATACACTTTAAGGGTGTACCATGTAATGTTTTAACCCATGCATAGTGTAATGTTTAAATCAGTTTAAACATATTTATCTCAAACATTTATGATTTCTTTATGGTAAAAACATTCAAAACCTTTCTTCCAGTCTTTTGAAATATACAGTACATTACTATTATCTATGTTGTCACCCTACTGTGCAATAGCACACCAAAACTTCTATCAGATTGTAATTTAGTACCCATTGATCAATCTTCCCTTCCCCCCAGCCCTTGGGTACCTGACATTCTACTCTCAACTGCTGTAAGTTCAACTTTTTAGATTCCATATATGAGTGAGGTCAGGTAGTACTTGTCTTTTTTGTCCCTGGCTTATTTCATTTAACATAATGATATCTAGTTTCATTCATGTTACCGAAAATGATGGGATTTCATTCTTATAACTGAACAGTATTCAATTGTATGTGTATTCTTAGTGCAGCAGTGAACATGGAAGTACAGATGTCTGTTGAACATACTGATTTCATTTCTTGTGGCTATATACCTGGTGAGGCAATTGCTGGATCATATGCTAGTTCTATTTTTAATTTTTTGCATAACTTCTATACTGTTTTCCATATGGTTATACTTATTTACATTCCCTCATTTTACATCCTTGCTAGCACACAGGTTATTTTTTGTCTTTTTGATAATGGCTATCTTAACAGGCAAAATTTATATCCTTTTTTTCTTTCTTTTTTGGCAATACTAGAGATTGAATCCAGTGCCTTGCTCATCCTAGGCAAATACTTATACAACTTAAGCCACGCTCCACCATCGTTTGTTTTTGATTTCTTTTTTTCAATATTGGGGTTTGAACTTAGGGCCTCACATTTGCTAGGCAGGCACTCTATCACTTGAGCCATGTCACCAGCCCTGTATTTTGTTTTTAAGACAGGGTTTCATTGCTACCTTTGGTAGGGATGGCCTCAAATTTACGATTCTCCTTCCTGCACCTCCTGAATTGCTGGAATTACGGTACTGACAAAAAAAAAAAAAAAAAGACACATAGACCAATGGAACAGAATAGAGAGTCCAGAAATAAATCTATACATTTACAGTAAACTGAATTTTGACAAAGATGCTAAAAACATTCAATGAGGAAAAGATAGTCTCTTTATAAATGATGTTGGAAAATGATATCCTGAGGAATGAAATTCAACCTTTATGCCATCACATATACAAAAGTCAAGTCAAAATGGATTGTAGACTTAAAGTAATTCTTTTTCTTTGTAGTGCTAGAGATTAAATTTGGGGCCTTGACCATTCTAAGCATGTGCTCTACCACTGAGCTACACCCCAGCAAATGTAAGACTTGAAATGTAAAGCTAATAAAAGACAACATAAGGAAAAAATTTCATGATGTTGTTAGAATGTTGTGGGTTTTTGGATATGCCCCCACTAGCACGGTGAACAAAAGTGAAAGTAGGTAAGTGAAATTATATTAAAATCTTGTGCACAGCAAAAGAAACAGTCAACAGAGTAAAGAGACAACCTTCAGAATGGGGGAAAATTTTGTAAACTATACATCTAACAAGGGATTATAATCCAAAATATATTAGGAACTCAGTTGGGCACAATGTCACACTCCTTAGTCTCAGCTACTTAGGGAGGCTGACATAGAAGGACCAGGAGTTGAGAGGCCTAAATCATGAGACCCTGTCTTAAAAGCAAAAAATACCACATAAAAACAAACTCAAAATATATATGTATTAGGAGTTCAACTTAATAACAAAAAAAAGTTTTTAATTTTGGTCAAGTGTCATGTCATATTTTTTCTTTTGCTTATGATTTTGATATTATATCTTAAGAAACTTTTGTCCAATCCAAAGTGATAAGGATTTGCTCCCAAGTACGTTTATGTTTTCCAAGAATAGTATAGGTATACATTAAATTACTATCTTTTTTATCATGCTGTTGTTGTCATGGGGGAACGCTGTGACATTATAAAAGTTCTTACAATACATCAAAGATGAATTCACCCCCTCTATTCTCTTTTATTCCCCCCCCCTCCTACTCCTGGAATAGTTTTAAAAGGTTAAATTGTTAATTTAAGAATTTTATGTCTATGAAGTCCAGGTACTGTATTTGGCTCTATACATAAAGTCAGCTGTCTCTGGGAAGTCATATGGGCTAATTCCCATGACTTAACCAGAAGCATTTTCTGATTTCCTTTGTTAGTTTTTATGGTTGTTGGGACTTACTGCATTTCAGTGATATGAATGAGCTCTAGATTTCCCAGGTCATTAAAGAAAGATACCACATATAGTTAATTTACAAATATTGTTATATTTTGTTTTTATCTTTTATTTAAAGGAGTTGGAGTTGTACAAAGAGGAACTTCACACAAAACCTGCACTCTTGGCAGTTAATAAAATGGACTTGCCAAATGCCCAAGATAAATTTCATGAACTGATGAACCAACTCCAGAATCCTAAAGGTAAATCACTCATTCACTGAATTCTAGATTAATGGGTATTTACTGTGCTCAGAGAATGTTAAATGTTATAATCAGTGGAAAAGAAAACTGATAGTTTCTACTCTTAATAACTGGATGTGTTTGAAGAAAGAACACATACCATATAAACATTTAAATAACAACAAAATGTGTGATGTGGACAATAAGAGGAGATAAAAGGAAAGAAAGATTAATTTGATCTGAAAAGGTTAGGCTTTATGAAGATGTGTAACTTAAACTGGTCCCTTAAAGAGTTCATGGGACTTTTGATAAAAGGAGGAAGAAGTCAGCATTTACACGTGAACTCTTTCACCTTAATAGGGGTGCTTCATTCCCCTAGTAAACCATACATTTAAGAACAGACCCAGTAGTTCTGAAGAGATATGTTTCTTTGGAACACACTCCATAGATCTCTGAAGAGTATTAATCTTTTAAAAAGAACTTCAGTACTACATATTGTGACACAGAAAAATAGATGCTGTTACTCCAAAAGGATTCCTCTGAAATTTTAAATGGACTATTTTGTATAAGGAAACTTAAAGGGACCCTCTGAAGTTTTAATGTTGACTATTATCCTGTGGTGATGATGTTTTCAGTTTTCTGAGTGTCATAGAGAGCCTCATGTACAAATGAGGAAAAGTACAGCACGTGGTAGATGGCTAACATTTTTTTAAATAATACTAATTTCTTTGTTTTTATCCTTGGAATAATAATTGGGAAAAATAAGTTATAGAGTACTAGGACCAGTACCCAGAAGGTTCTTTCTCTCCTTTTGAAAATCTGTGCCCTAAGAAATGTATGTGTTGGAGTTGTCCTTGAGTTAGCAAGTTACTCTTAGAATATAAATAGTCACAAATATTATTATATAGTCTTTATTCCTTAAATCATTTGCTTTATAATGTTGTTAGTTCTGTGTGCTAGTTGGTCTTACAAAGAAGAGAATTTTACCAGAAGTGAGGGTAACTATGCTGGACTGTCATAATTCTTGAGTTAACTTCTGATTCTCTTGGAGATTTACAAATTTCAGAAACCAAGCTCCATATTGACTTGCCAGTTGTTTTCATTCTAGCCTTTTGCTAATCCTTACAGTCACTTTACTATCCACCTCCCATTGCCATGGTGGCAGAGAAAAGGAAAAAGCAAAAAAAAAAAAAAAAATGTTAGTCCCTGAAAGTGATAGAAATGATCTCTCCTTGACTGTTCCCACTTCTTCAGTTTCAAGGTGGATCCTACCATCGGTGACCAGGGAAGTTAAAGTTCTCCTGTGTAGTAACATCAGCTAGAATGTCCCAAACTATAAATTATTATTTTTTATGAGAAACTTTCAGAGCCATCAGTGTTATTGATAGATACTTTGTTGAGCCCCCTCAAAAAGCAAATTCTGTTATTTCTGTAAGTATATAGTCTTCTGATTCATCTTTTGTTTATCTTTAGTTTGGTTTAAAATATATTCATTCAATAATTACTTACTAAGTAGCTATCATGTACCAAGAACCTTACCATTGTCATTAGTAAAATTCAGAGGTTCTGAGAGCTTATTAAAGAAGGAAAAACAGGAATTTAAAATGTTAAATTTTTGGTTTCCTCCCTGCTTCACATATCAAACCTCTTAACATAGTGTGGACACACTTTCAAAGACAATAGAAATAACCTTAGCTTTCTGTTCTTTGTTTCAGATTTTTTGCATTTATTTGAAAAAAACATGATTCCAGAAAAGATTGTGGAGTTCCAACATATCATCCCCATCTCTGCACTAACAGGAGAAGGAATTGAAGAATTAAAAGACTGTATAAGAGCGTCACTGGATGAACAGGCCAACCAGGAAAATGATGCATATCATAAGAAACAGCTGCTTGATTTAAGGATTTCCAATACAATATCTTATAGTAGGCTACCATCAGAGCATACTGTCGCTAGTTCAGAAATGATATAATTTAAATCTAGTAAAAATACTATTAATGGAATACTGTTCATTCCTAAAAAGAAGGAAATCATGTCATTTTCAGCAATATGGTTGAGCCTGTAATATATTATGTTCAGAGTAATAAGCTAGGCACAGAAAGATAAATACCACATTAACTAAATTATATTTGGTTTAAAAAAATTTGAACTCATAGAAGCAGAATAGAATGGCTGTTATCAGGGGTTGGGGAGATAAGAGGTATTGTTTACCCAAGATACAAAGTTTCAGTTAGCATAAATAAGTTCTGAGGCTCTGTTGTAGAGCATGGTGGCTATAGTTACAATAATATCAGATTTTGAAAGTTGGTAATAAAGTAGGTTTAAGGGTTCATACCACACAAAAAAAAAAATCTAAGGAAATACATGCTGTTTAGCTTGATGAGCCATTCCACAGTGTATGCATACTTCAAAACATGCTGTACATGATAATTATGTACAATTTGTATATGTTAGTTAAAAATGGTATTGAAATTGCATTAATTTTAAAGCTTTCCACACTTTTTATTATTTAGTGTCATCATTCAGGAACGATAGGTTTTAAAGTTATTATTTTATAACAAAGAATATAAACAGCAAAAATGTAACTGTGAGTTAAAGTTTGTAAAAAATGTTTTATGGTCAATCCACTTGTTATAACATTCTCTGATATTCCTTTACTTATAGTGTTCCCACTGAAATCATTTTTTAAAAATTATATAGGAGGGCTCCCTTGATAATTAGAATGAGCAACTAGGATTTGATAGCTTGTTTGTTTTGGGTCTTTCATACACCTGGTTGCACAAAATAACAATTCTCTTTTGTGGAAAATCTTAAAACTAAATTTGAACCTATGGTCAGTGAAAATAGAGATCACTGATAATACTTAACAGAAAACAGCAGATCAGTGTCTGATTTGAGCTTTTGGAAAAAGCTAAGTATGATGAGTATTTTATTTCCCTGCTTTGGATACTGGTTTATATATCTCATTTTCTTATGTCCCACTCTTTTCATTTTCCTCTTTCATATTTTATTAAAGAGAGAATAAATAGGAAGTGCCAGCTTTAAACAATATCAGCCATTAATATATTTGGAAGAGATTAAATTTCTAAATTTCTCCCTGAGTTTGTAAAAAATAATTACAAATAGGATTTTTTCTCTTTAAATGAGTTTTATTATAAAATGTACATCTTCATTGTGAAAAAAAAGATTCAAACAGTGCAAAAGCATGTAATGAAAAACAGTTCCTTCTTCTTCCATGAGGCCCCTTAATCCTTCCCAGAGAAAGCCAGTTTTAATAGTTTATGGGGTTTTTTTTCCTCCATTGTTCTGATAGTGGTATTTCTTTTTTTTTTTTTTTTTTCTTTTTCTTTTTTTGGTTTTTTGTTTGTTTTTGTTCATTTATTCACATGTGCATACACTGTTTGGGTCATTTCTCCACCCTGCCCCCTCCCCCACCCTTCCCCACCTAAATTTAGTTTATGTTCTTGCAGAAGTTTTTTATACCTATAGATTTTTTGCCCAAATGGGTTAATCTATAAATTTCCAACTTTATTTTACAAAATAGTAGCAAGCTAATAACCCCTAAAAATGTTCTTCGAAGCTACTTTTTATTCAAAATTATTTTGGAATTTAAAGACTGTGGCTATTCCTCCCTCCGTAAATTATTAAATAAAAAATGTTGTTTTGGACTTAACTTTTTTCTATTTTGACAATGTGGATGACGTTTTACAAGTGTTATATCCCTTTGTTCTGCTTTCTCCCATTCTAGTCCTAGACTGGCTTTTCTTGTGTCCTTTTTTTCTTCATTACATCGGTACTTGTTGAGTATCTCTCTTGTGCCACACACTGTGCAGGGTGCTCCCTATGTGATTTTGATGAGAACAGACAGGTCCTGCCCCTCTCTGAGTTCACATTCCATAGTGGAGATGGCCGGGAATTGCAATGGCCTAGTTCCATTTCACAACAAAAGAGTCAGAGTGGGGAAAAGCATTTGGAGTTTACACTGATGTGACCATATTTTATATTGGATATGTTACACACTTGTAACTTCAGTGTCATTTTGGGTTTCTTAACTATATACTTCCTAAAATAAATAAGTGGCAATCTGAGCATGGTTTCATGAGATGAATTTCAAAAATTCCTAACACCATAATCTTACTTTGTGCTGTGACAAATGACAGTAGATATTAAGGTTTAAGAGAAAATTGTTTTGTCAGTAATCTGGGAGTACCACTCCAGCATTAACTACAGCATTTTATGGTTCATTATATAATTCATTAAAATATTCCATTCATTAGTGTTTTCTGGTTATTGAAAGTATAGTCTTATATACCCTTTTCTGACCTTTCATTTTTATTCTTAACAAAAGGAGAAAAATCCAAATTCACTTATTAATTTTATAAAAAAATTGAAAGGGCTGGAGTATAGTTCACTGGTAGAGCATTTATGCAACATATGCAAGGCCTTGGGTTTGACCTCAGCACTACAAAAATATTTTTTGTACTTGAAAGATTTATTTAGAAGTAAATCTTTTCACGTTATTTCATATGCATTTTATTTTGCCTGTGTGAAAGACTTCATTTTTACCTTTCAAATTACATCAATCAAAATGTATACCATTTGGATTACTTAATGATTATATTATTATATAACCAAATTATCAATATGCTATGCATAGCAAATTTTTAGTAAGTCTCAGCCATATATCACATTTATTTATCATCATGAAATACAAATTTATACTAACAGGCAGTTGTCAGGTACTATATTGTTCTCTGAAACTGGATCTGTGCTTTGAAGATTTTACCTATGAATATTCCAGAGTGCCTATTATTTATGCTTTTTGTAATTTTCAGCTGTTCATTACTTAACAAAAGGGTTACAGTCTAAGAAATGTATCCTTAGAGATTTCCTAGTTATACAAACATCAGAGTACACCTATACAAACTAACTACATTGTCACTATTGACAGCTACATTGTAATATTGGCTAGAATAAGTATGAAAAGGCCAGGGCCAATTTTAGGTATCATTTCTGATCAGTACCCACTAATTTTAGTCATTCTAATTTTAAACAATTTATTTTCAACATATGACAGTTGCTTAATAATTGTTGGGTACCTGGGAGACTTAGAGGAAGTAATCACCTTTGTATGTATTATTAAAGTGTTTATAATAGAAATTAAATCCTTTGAGATGCCCAGATACCAAGCTAAGTAAAGCCTAATTATCACCTAAATCATGTCCTTTGAAATACTTGGCATTTGAAGAACAGGATATGCAGTTTATATTATAACTAATTTTGGAGCAATATATGACAATGTAATTTTTCCTATTTATTTTGTAAACTCTTGAGTGCACTCAAAGTTGAAAGCAAAGGACAAAAGCTTCCTTTGTTCATGGCCCTACTCCAGTGTATTTTTCCAAAATTGGCAATATCTTCTGATCAATGCCTTCATTATTATTTCTATATAGGAAGCTTTTTGAAGACTGATGTAATTTTCTTATTAAGAAAAAAGATATAATTATGCAGCTAAAATATACCTCCATTTTTTTTTGTCTATAGTTTGCTACAAATTGAGGGAGATGAAGAATATTTTAACTCAAGGACGGATGTTGAGTAAAAATCTATGACTGGGTAGATCATGATTAAATGACAGCACATAAAAGCCCCATGTCAACTGAATCCTAATGGAGAAAATAAGACTACTATATAATCATTGAGCCCAGCTTCAAAACAAATCTTTCCAGGAAGTGGTACTGGGATCAAGAGAAACAACTATATTATGAGTACACATGAACTTTCCTATAAAAATATGAACTAGAAAAACTGTTTCAAAGAATCATTGATACTATAATGCCAGATATATAGTACATTTTTTCAAAAGTTTAACATACAGGTTTATTTTTTTTAAAACTGGGTGGAAAAAAACCATGGTGGTGGTCATGGTTATGGTAGAAACATAGGTTTTAAACACCTGAAAGCAATTACTTATTGACAAATTCTTTCATAAGTTGCTCACCTTCCTCCTGTCTCCCTCTTCACTAGTAACCAAATGTGCCATCATACTACTATTGCATTGTGCACGGTATGTTCCTAACAGTTCTTGAAAAGATAAAAGCTTTGGTTTATCAGAGGAGAGACCATCAAGGGCATGTTCTTCCTCTTGTCCTTTGTTTTTCTATTATTTCCTTTTGTTTTCTTTGAAACTAAAAGCATGCACCACCAGGCCCAGCTACCTGATGGTTTTTTATCTATCACTGCTTGATATATTCAGATTTTTCTTCCTTTATTAATTATCTTGGGATTGTGTAACAAAATACCACAAACTGGGTGGTTTAAACAACAAAAGTTTATTGTCTCAGGCAGAAGTCTGAGATCAAGGTGTGACAGGGCTGTACTTCTGAGGGCTATGAGAGAATCTGTTCTGTACCTCTATCCTAGTTTTTGATGGTTTACTGACAGTATTTGGCATTCCTTGACTTGTAGAGGCATTACTCAGTCTCTGTTTTCATCTTCACATGGTATTCTCCCTGTGTGGTGTTTTTCTCCAAATTTCCCCTTTTTATAACAATACCAGTCATTGCATAAAGACCTACTCTAATGACCTCATTTTAACTCCATTACCTTTGTAGTGACCCTATCTCCAAATCAGGTTGCACTCTGGGATGCTGCAGTTAGGATGGCAATATATGAATGAGTGTGCTGGGAGGGAACAACTCAACTGGTAACACTTTCCTATTTTTCTCTCTAAATTCCTCAACTAAAAATAATAATAATACACCTTCTAATTAATAGGTAATATTACCTTTTATTTGACAGGCTCTTCTAAAGAAAAATAGCATATAGGGAAAACTTTTTCTTTTGTATGTTGAATTTCAGTTACAGACTTAGAAATACTTTGGTGAGATATGACTAACATAAAAAGGGAACAATATATGCAAGTTAGTTTGCAATTTGGAGTTGATAAATTGTATATAATGAAGGTACAGATATTCAGAGAAGGGAGGGAATGTAGATAGGATTTTGGTGGGCAAAAATGATAGTAGGAGGCCATTCCAAGTTCAAGAATAGCTTCAATGATCCGGTGCCGATGGTTCACACCTGTAATCCTGCTATTTGGGAGGCTAAGATTGAGAGGATCTCAGTTCAAGGCCAACCTGGTCAAATAATTCGAGACCCTGTCTCCAAAAATAACCACAGCAAAATGGACTGCACATGTAGCTGAAGTAGGTAGAGCATCTGCTTTACAGGCATGAAGCCCTGAGTTCAAATCCTAGTCCCACCAAAAAAATAAAGTGTAGCTTCAATGAGCATTTAAAATAAAATCTTAGAGGAGAAATCCAAAATAAGGAAACTGGCCTGTGTGTAGAGTTCTGAACAGTGACAGCAACCTTCTAGGAAGCTCCACAACTTAATACATCTCAATTTTGGGCAAGTTATCTAACCTTCCACATCTCAGTTTACTTATCAGTAACGCAGGGCTATTAAAACTAGATGATCCATGAAAAAAGAGCCCAAGTGCCTGGTATGAAATAAGAAATCAATGTTATTTATTATGTTTAGTTGAGCTCAATATGTAAGGAAATTGTTTACCTACCTTGTTGTAAAGTGGCAAAGGCTTGAACAGGATCACAATTCTTTGTAGTGAATGAAGGACAAGGAAATATTTCAAAGGAAGAATCAAGATGTGGTTCCTACTCTTAGCAAAAGTATGATAGACAATAGAAAGTAAAGTGAAACCACTGGTGAAATAAGGAATAGTGGAAGACATAGGTGTACAATTATTAATTTGTACTTGGAAAACACTGAAATTGGTGTACTAGCCATCAACCATATGAGTTGGTAATTAGAAATAATAAAGTTCTTGAAAGTCTGGGCCAAAAGGTTTGGATTTGGAGAGATAGAAATGGGGTGGTTTTCTTCCTTCAAGGAAGTTTATTGACTGGGGAGTTGTGAGGACAGAACCTTTTGATAAATAGATTAGAGAATGAGAAGAAGAAAGTAAAAGCCACAGGTTGGCAGGGAACTAACTAGATAAACTAGAGCTAGAAATATTGACATTTCCAATTTCAAGGAAAAGGGGTTTAGGAAAAAAGAAGTGGCCAAATTGCACAATATAGATATGAAAGTGGAAGTGAATTAGGACAAAAAAGGTCAGACCTTTTTGGATTCAGCCCTGAAGAGATTTTTAGGAACTATGATAGGCAGGATAATGATCTCCTAAGGATGTTCACATCCTCATCCCTGGAATCTGTGAATTGAGGTTTTGTATAGAATTAAAATTGCCAAACACATGACCATAAAGTACATTATTCTAAGTGATTTGAGTGGATCCAGGTCATCACAGGCTTCTTAAAAGTTGGAAGAGGGAGGCAGAAGAGTAACTGTGACAAGGCCTTGACCGACTGGTTTTGAAGCAAGGAAATTCAGGTATGTTCTGAAAGCTAGAAAAGGGAAGAAAATAGATTCTCCCCTAGAGCCTCCAAACACACACACACACACACACACACACACACACACACACACACGTGTGTGCTGGAGGTGGGGGTAGGGAATAGAGCCTTGTGGACATCTTGATTTTAGCCCAGTGAAACCGGAGTCAGACTTCTGAACTTGGGAACTATAAGATTAATAAACTTATAGTTTTAAGCCTCTGTGTTTGTCGTGATTTGTTATAGCAGCAATGTAAAACTAGTCCAGTGACCAAATGGGAATATTTGTGGAATTTTGGTGGTAAACAGTATATTGCAGTCAATTTGCTGTACTATTTGACTTTCTCATTAAGTTAAGGAATCTCTGTTGAGAAAACAAGAAAAGCCAGAATTGCTAATTGCTGAACTAATGTCTTAATCTAAAGTGCTTTTGAAAATTGTATTCTAATAGTCTAATCACTGAATCTCACTGTGCTTTTACATGTTCTGTTCCATCTTTGCTATACCAAGGTAAATGAACTATAGACCCCCAACTAGATCAATAAGGAAGAAGGTTGTCTTCCCCTCCTTTTTGTGCAAGTAGTTAAAAAATTATAATCCACTACATATAGATTCCAGCCGAAGTCTGCTAACCAAGTAGCATTCATCAAGGATTGGTAAATATATTATGTAACGATTTTGTACACATGATTCAATTTAGTTTTTGGAGATAAGATGATTGAAGTTCAGGGCAAAGTGATTATTCTGTGTCAAACAGCCATCATCCATCAGTTACCCCAACTCTGACGTGGAGTCAAGGATCTTTTTGTACCCAGAGATCTTTTCATTATTCACACCTATCTTTCTTCCTCATTATTACATTTTCCAGTCTGGTTTTTGGATAGGATTGCTTCTGACTTTAGAAGTCCTTATTTATTCTGTGATGCAATATGGCAATAATAAAGGGGTAATAGTGGACAGCTAAAATAGCCTTTCCCCTTTTTCTGTAACAGTCCCATTATTATGAGAGCAACACAAAATGGAAAATGCAAATAGCAAACAGTCCGTTATTGACAGATACTGTTGTAAACTTCTCTATTTTCTGTGAAAACTAAACTCATTTTCAATTCTCATCATGATTTTCTTTTTTTTATTGTTATATTTTAAAATTGAATTTAGAGATTCCCCAAAGAAGATACATGGACAGCATAAATATGCTATACTAATATTTATGAAATTTCACCATGAATTTCTGATGTGAATATACTATTGCTACAGATAAGAACCTGAGGCACAAAGAGGTGACTTAACTTGCCCAAGATCATACAGGATAGGGATGAGTGCAATCCTTTTGTGTAAATTGTGATACCTTTTTTCCTTTTTCTACTGAACATTTTCAAAGCTACTGAGAATTTGAAGGAATAACGCAAGAAGCACCCATATATTTGTCCTTAGATTCAACAGTTGTCAATACTTGCCACATTTTCTGTATCCCCATTTGTGTATGTATGCGTGTGATCGATTGGAAATAATTCTTAAAATCAGATCACTTCTATATAGGAATCGTTTAGTTTAGTTCAGATATTCATTCACCTGCACATTTAAGAGAAGCCCAGAAAGGGGACTGTTGAAATTGTGGGAGAATAGTTAATTTAAATATGTAATAGCTATATACACAGTACGGAATTTCAAGACAATGTTACTATGTAGGTAATCTTACCCCTATCTTTACAGGTAACCTCAGACAGAGAGGTCACTGAGAGGTAATTTGCCTAGGGCCACCCAATTACTCTGGTAATTGACAGAGTCCCTGCAAACTTCAGTTGTCTGGTTCTGGGTTTAAGCTCTTTTTCGTTTTGCACCTAGGTAAATATTTTGTCGCGGTAGAAGATTTAAGAGATTTTTGCGAGCATTTAATAGGATGCGCTGCGGCCGGCGCCCGGAGCATTGTGGGAACTGTAGTCCCAGGCTTCCCGGGTATTCCCACTCGCGCTCCCACAAGCCTCCGGGCGGCTTCTTCTCTGGAACGCACTTCCGGAGACGCGGAGACGCGGAGACGGAGACTGAGACGCTCCTTGGTGTGGGCGACTAAGGTTCCCTGGCAGTGAGGGACAGGTAGGTGTAGTGAGTGGTGTTCTGGTGTCTGAGTCTTTTTGCGTAAGTAACTGGGGGTTTTATGTAAAATAACTGAGTCGAAAGGCATTGAAAGATGCTTACCACATCTGTGATGTGAAAATCGCGTGCGGAGGAATTGGATGAAGCTTCATGTTTTCTAGAAGGAGCATGGAGGTGTCGCGGGGTGCGGACGGATCATCCGCCCTGCGCACTCTACATACCCAGCCAGTGCTAGTTGTCTAATGGTGACCCGCTAGCGGTTCCGACCACGCAGTGGAGGGACGGGCTCGCGCCCGGATGCGGTCTTTCCATTGGCTCTGACCCGCGGCCCCCACCTCACTCCGCTCCATTGCTGCCAGCTCTGGTTCCTCTGAGGACACCGCGGGGGGAGGGGGTAGGATGCGGGGTACCGGGAAGCCCCGTTAGCTTTCCTCTAAAACCCAGATTCTGTGTTCCTGGCCTTGGAAGGGGCCGGTCATCACAGTAGAAGACCGCCAGGCTCGGTGACCTCACTCGACCTCTTGTGTGTTATTCATTATAAAACATCTCCTCTGACTTTGAAACAATTATGCTGGATAACAACTCAAGAATCGTCCTTGGAGGAGGGGAACTTGGTTAAACCTCAGTGCAGACAACGTTCTGTATAATGATCATAATAGCAGGGGTGATAAACGCTTTAACCCAGGAAGCTCGCGGGCGTTTACAAGTTTTCACTCACTCTACCTCTTCGAGCTAAATAGCATTCGAAGAGGAAGTTGCTGATGTTCGGAGATTATGGAAACATCTTTAAATGGCAGGTTGAGCCATTGGCGGAACCATAAACTTAAGAGAGCTTTCTGGTTGCAAGTTTTAAAATGCAGAATGCAGATCAGCTTTGTCTGGTTTTGTTGTCAGTATCCTTTTAACGAATATTAAAAAGCAGTGTTTCTTTTGCTTCCAAGATGACTTCATAGTGTTTCCTTATCCTCTTTATTCTTTTACTCTAGTCATGGAAAGGATCTTTAAAAATTCGTTAAATATTGATCATATATTTCCAAGACAGTAAAGTGATTTTTTATCCTTAATTCTATCTTCTCAAACCACAAAATAAGTTATTTTTCTTCTGTAGACTACACATAACAATGCATGAATTTAAGAATAGACTACCCTTTTATTATTATTTTTTAGCTTGTGCATGCTAAAAAGTGCTCTACCACTGGGCTACACCCCCAATCCTAGAGTGCCTTCTTGAAAAACTTACTGTCTCCCCTACTTGGCATAATATTTCATTAGTTTTAGGTGATCGCTATTATTTTTTCTAATTCCATGTGAATTCAAATGAGAAACACTGTATCAATTGGGGCACTTTTCCTATTTCTGTAGGCCACATCATCTGTACTGTGTGTTCATTCAGATGTGCATGTGTTTCTTCTAAGTTGACTAGAGCCGTTTTAGAGCTATCAGGTACCTCAAAGGGTAAGTACATCCTTTGATTATATCTTATTTCCATGCTTCCTGCTATCTTAGTCAATAATAATGCTTCTCTTCAACAAAATAAAGGTATAGAAGGGACTTCCAGTGTTACCATAAGGAATTAATTTAGCTGATAATGCGACATCTTTTATAGCTATTCCTTAGAATTGTCCCTGAAAAGATTGTAATTAGTCTGTGAAGCCACTATCTCTGCTCCATCCTTCTTTGAACTCTATTCAAAAACCACAGAAAAATACATCCTTTTGAAAATATTTTTATTCAAAATGGTATCTTTGATAACATTTAATTGCATGCCAAATTTTTCTGAAAATCCCCATGGAACAGATAGTCAAATGACTAATGTGAAGTTCTTGTTTTGAAACAGAGTCTATTTGATTTGGTCAATAACTCCTTCAAAAAGAATGCTCTGTCATTATCATTACATGACTATAACCATCTGTGGTTGTTTGCTGAGGATCCAGAAGAAAAGTGTGTTTCTACCTGCAGAAAGCAAATAACTTAATAATAATCATTACAGACTTAATTTCTGACCACATTCTGGTGGGCAAAGAGTTTTACTATTCATCATCTCACAACTATCGTAACAGACATTTTACTTATTAGAAACTTGAAATTCAGGGAACATAGATAACTTGTTCAGTTTGTAAGTGATAGATTGGAAGGGAGATTAGTCTTCTAGATAACAGTGTCAATCTGTCCTCACATCTGTATATATGACCCAGCTCAGAGCTATCACCCAGCTAGTGTTCGGAAGTGCTCATCAGATTTGCTAAGGTGTTTTCTTACTCTGCTACATTTTCCACAGTCCCTAATTAGGAGTTTTCATATGGCAAAAGATATGTTTTTAGCTGGTGATAGTGGCTCATGCTTGTAATCACAGCTGCCCTGAAGGCAAAGGTAGAGATTCAGGAGGATTATTATTTGAGGCTATCCTGGGCAAAAAGTTAGTGAGACCCCCATCTCAACAGTAGTTGGATGTTGTGATGCATGTTTATCATCTCAGCTGTGCAGAAAGCATAAATAGGACCACAGTCCAGGATGGCCTTGAACGAAAACTTAATGCCCTATCCTAAAGTAACTAAAGTCGTGGAGGGCATAACTCAAGTGATAGAATGCCTGCCTACCAAGCTCAAGGCCCTGAGTTCAGTCCCCAGCACCACCAAAAAAAAAAAAAAGTAGATGTTTTTCCCCAATACTATGAAAAGGTATGTAAATACAAATGCAATAAATCAGATAGCTTTGATAAATGAACATTAATTTGATACATTATTAAACCACTCCTAACAATGAGGGGCATATCCCATTAAGCAGTGTGGCCAAACATATAATATTTCTAGACATAGTCTCTATGTAAATATTTGGAAATAACCTCACGTTTTCTGATCACGTGTTTCTGGGGGAAGATAATAAACTTGCTTTTTACAAAAGTGAGAGAGACTTTTGGCCAGAAAGGAGCAGAAAGAAAGGCATAGTATAGAAATAGCCTGAATGCTTCAGAGTACAGGATGGAGTGAACTGTTCCAAATGAAATGAGTAGAACTGAAACTAAAGCAAATTTATAACTTTCTCTTTGTCCTGTCCAAACTTGTATAGAATTTGTATTTGTTCATTCCCTTATTCATCAAGTAACTTAGTGCCTTCCATGTGCCAGTACTGAGGGTTCTTTGTTCAAGGTTCTCTGTTCTGGAATTCATAATGTAGTAGGATAACAATACCAGAATCAAGAATTATAAGCATGATCACTACTATCAAAGAAAAAGTGTAATGGTGCTACCACAACATACAACTAGGGCTGGGAGAAGGCTAATGATGGAGGCAATAAAGGGAAGAGTTAGGGCAGGCCTCCCTAGAAACAAGAAAAATGCATAGATGTTAACTAAGCAAAGAAGAGGTGGATTTAAGAAAGTTCTCAGAGAAAGAATAGCACATAGGAAAGCCTTTAACCAAATTAAAGAAAAGCAGTATGGCTATATAAACTATGGTACATAAGGTTGTAGAGTGGCATATAAAAAGGTTGAAAATTCCGGCAGGAAGCAGATAGTCTGAGCTGTGGGGAAGATTTGAAACTTTAAATATGTTATTCTGCGGAAATTGTTAAACTGTTGAATAGGAAAAAGACAGAATGACATGATCAGCTTTACATTTGAAAAAAATTTTTTTCTGAAAGCAGAATTAATTAACATAGAACAAAAGTAGAGGTCTTTTTATGCTCTCACATATGAACAAATCCTAGTCTGAAGGTCAGCATTTATATTTCAGTTTGAAAATTAAACATTTTTTCCTCAACTATCCTATATAAAGTGTAATAATCTCTCTAGTAGAATACATGATATATTATCAAGTCACAGATACATAGAATTATTAAAAGGCATAAAAAGTTAAAGCAACCACAGGAAATTACTTATAGAGATTCATTCTAACACCAAGGTTGAAATTTAGTTTAAGAATTGAGGTTTATAGTATTCCCTTTCTGAAAAAAAAAACATGCCATTGTATCTTTGTTGACTCTGTACAAAAAAACTTTTGAGTCAATGCTTGAAATCTGAGCTAAGCATCCTTCATCGAAAGTAAGTTCAGGGAATTCCTGTAACACTTGTATTGATTTGATGCAGAATGTAGCTAAACATACTTACTACTGAAATAAATACTGGCTCACTTCTGTTCATTAATGTTGATAGTCTATAGGCTAAGAATTATAGGAAATTTTTAATAATTATCTTGATCTTGTTTCTCACTGCCTTTGGATTATAATTGGTGATAAAGGACAGGCTGAAGAAATTTCAGTTACTTTGAAATTCCAAGTACTTGTTCCCTATCTCTGGAAACAAGAAAGACTAGTGATTAGGTTAGGAATTTGAGTGGGTTAACTAGAGTCTCAAAAATTTGAAAGAAGCATAGGCAACCTTTTTTTTGGTGGTGGTGGTACTAGGGTTTGAACTCTGGGTCTCATGCTTGGTAGGCAAATGTTCTACCACATGAGCCACTCTGCCAACCCTTTTTTGTGATGGTTATTTTTGACATATGGGGTCTCGAACTATTTGCGTAGACTGGCCTTGAACTTGCAGTCCTCCTGATCTCTGTAATAGCTGGGATTCAGGGGGTGAGCCACTGGCCTGGCTAACTTTTTTTTTTTTTGTCTTTAATGTCTCCACAACTTTAATCAAATTTTTATTCTCCTTTATTGCTTAGTCTTTCACTGACTCAGGATGATAGATTTTTATTTACAGATACATTATACCAAAGTTCACTTTGGTAGCTTGATACCTAAAAATAACCACTTACTATGTAGTAATCATACAATTAATGCATCATCAATGTTTTGAGTTTACATAAAACAACATATTCCTTAGGACTATTAACACACTGGGAATCCGGCCTGTATCTCAGTGTCCTTCCAGAGCCTAAGAGACTGTTTTGCATATGCAGAATACTCAGCACACTATAAATACTTGTTGAATGAATGATTGCTTAGTCATAGTTATTTCCTTCTCCACTTCTACATTATCAGTGCCCCACTTGTGTGAGTGACTTGGTCTTGATACAGGGCCTACTACTCACTTATTCAAATAATCGTAGATGACTTTTATGCCAGGCTCTGTGGAAGTTACCATGTATGAGGAGATAAACAAATAAATGGTCAAAAACCAACAGGTAAATTCTGGAGTTTAGTGTTATTGGTAGCCTTTCCCAATGTATACATTCTCAAATCTACAGTAGTGTTTCCATTGCTAGACCAAGATTTTTGGTTGCTAAAATTAAGTGAGTCAGGGTTTTGGTTTTTTTTCCCCATTTGCATGAGAAAAGAACTAATTGTCTTTTCATTGATAATATTTTCTGAAACAACTGCAATAATACTGACAGGGCAACATAATAAGTAGTAAACTAATAGCAATGGAAAAACTTAGAACTAGCCGTGTTTAATTTGAGAACTTTTAATTCAAGGTTATTTGCATCTAAACATTTAGATGCTCTTATATTGTATACTTATAAATATATAATTGAAATATATGTATTACAGAGGCATATAATTTTTGCTAATGAGACTGGAGGCATGGAGCACCTACCTAACAAGTACAATGCCCCGAGTTAAAGCTCCAAAACAACACAAAAAACTAGGATGTTAACTCTTTTAGCTGGGTGTAGTGGTTCATGTCTGTAATACCACCTACTAGAAATCCTCTGGGAGGATCTCAATTCAAGGCTAGCCTGGGCATAAAGTTAGCAAGACCCCATCTTAACCAATAAATCAGGTATTGTGGTGCACACCTGTGATCTTAGCTTCTCAAGAGACTGTAAGTAGGGGACTTGTGGTCTAAGGCTCTATCAAGCAAAAATTTGAGACACTACCTGAAATTTAACTAAAGCAATAAAAAGGCTGGGGGCATGACTTAACTGAAGCCCTGACTTCCATCCCCACTGCTACAAAAAAGAAATTTGCTAGTGAAATTATTGCTAATTCATATGACTACATTAAATATGTAAACAGCATTGTTTTCTAAGGAATGTTGTGCTCTTTACTGGAACACATTGGTGAAACAAGTCCTAACCCAGTTTCTTAGCATTTTGGTCATGGTTGTCTTTCTGATCCTGACCTCCTGGCAATGTTCCTCCACTATCTCAGCAGGTAATATGTGATTCTGCTAAAGATGATGGAGTCTGTAAACTAATTATATTGTATCCAGAAATAAAAATTCTTTTCAGTTTGCCCATTTATTGTGCTGTGACCCAAAAAGGTAAATGCACTACCTTGAAGTTGTCTGCTCTGTTGCTTTATGGTAGAAAACACATTTGAGTAGTCTTTTGAGGTGAATTTCAAATCCTTGAAGAAATTAAAGCTGAGTAGGATACTGGTTTTTATAGTTTGTCATACAGTTTTTTAATTTGCGATGAGAAAAAGGCCCGGCTGCTGTTTTTCTTACAGTAGCACTAATAGAATCATGTTGTCATTACTCAGAAATCTTTGCATTCATCTTATATGAGCACTAATAGCATAATAACCACCAAATGCTATAGATTTTCCTGAAAAGCACTTGGGCCATCTTGAATCAGCCAGGAAATAGTTGAACAGAGTAATTTTAGGGAACTTTATACTCATCTACTCATTTGACTACTCTTTGAATGCGAGCCCACTCGCTTCTCACAATTCCCTGGTATGCCTCATATGTAGAAATAAGATCAGTTTGCTTTTTCTTAATATTGAGCCAACAAGTGTTGGTTAAACTCCAGGGTGCCAGGCACTGAGCTGTTTACTGAATGCTAAGAAGTAGTCAACTTTCACAAAGCATAGTGCTCCAGACATGTTTTAAAACTTAACATTATATTAACCCTTTGAATCCATAAAACAACCCCATGAGGAAGGCACTGTTGTCTTATTCATTTTACAGATGAGGGATGTGAGGTACAGGCAAGTTCTGAGGCTGACTCAAGGTCAGTTAGCTAATAAGTGAGGAGGGGATAAGAATCCAAGCAGTTTAGCTTGGGGTCAGCTCTCTACCACTCTGCTGCAGTGCTTCTTTCCCCATTCCTTTGCCTTTTATGAGCCACTTTCACCTCTGCTGTGTGCTAGTCTTATTTTATACTTGCATGACCATTTGAGGCTGAATTTGTGATGTTTTAAGCTAATTGACAGTTGATAAGAGGCCTGGCCTTTGCTGTATATTTGTATGCCTGATACATAAAAGTGGCTAATATATGTGTGCTGAGTGGATATTGACAACCAAGAGAATTTTAGGTATCATGTTGAGAATTGACATAATTTTGTTTGTTGCTCTCATTAACTGTGATGAAAATACTGATGACTGAAGATTTTCATTGTTTTTGACACAGTAAGTGATAACCAAGCATGTGTGTGGGTGCACCTGAGCTCCAAGCCTACATGCTTATGCATTTATAAACATTTATACTGTTCTGAGAGGAAACATTGCATTGACATTTCACCATTAAATGTGTTACCAGGTGGTACCACTTTCCTGCTGTGCTTTCCTCTTGTCTTCTGATTTGTCCTCTTGTATGTCACCCCTAGTCTGTCTGATAGTACTGCGCAAGCCTGCCTGCCATGGGCTGTCGGGATGTCCACGCAGCCACAGTCCTCTCTTTCCTATGTGGAATTGCCTCAGTTGCAGGCCTCTTTGCGGGGACTCTGCTTCCCAACTGGAGAAAATTACGACTGATCACATTCAACCGAAATGAGAAGAACCTGACTGTTTATACAGGCCTGTGGGTGAAATGTGCCCGGTACGACGGAAGCAGTGACTGCCTCATGTATGACACTACTTGGTACTCATCAGTTGACCAGCTAGACCTGCGTGTCCTCCAGTTTGCCCTGCCCCTCAGCATCCTGATTGCAATGGGTGCCTTGCTGCTTTGCCTGATTGGAATGTGTAACACAGCCTTCAGGTCCTCAGTGCCCAACATCAAACTGGCCAAGTGTCTGGTCAATAGTGCAGGCTGCCATCTGGTGGCTGGTCTGCTGTTTTTTCTGGCAGGTACTGTGAGCCTCTCTCCATCCATCTGGGTCTTCTTTTATAACGTCCATCTGAACAAGAAGTTTGAGCCAGTCTTTACATTTGACTATGCAGTGTATGTCACTATTGCTAGTGCTGGAGGTCTGTTTATGACTGCCCTTCTACTGTGTATTTGGTATTGTGCATGCAAGTCTTTGCCTTCTCCTTTCTGGCAGCCACTGTACTCTCATCCTCCCAATATGCATGCTTATTCACAGCCCTATTCAGCACGTTCCCGCCTCTCTGCCATTGAAATTGACATTCCAGTAGTTTCACACACTACTTAACAGGGATATAATTAATGGGTTTTTTTTAAAAGTTCTTGTAGCCACATATTCCCCTTGTGCAAAGAGCCTTTTTGAACCTATATACATTTTCCTTTGTTCCTGAACAGTCACTGGAGCCAAATTGGTATATCTTGGTAGAATGAAGTGCTGCTAGTTTTTATGAGAAGTAAATTACACTATTTTAAGTACTCTTTTTGTCTTCTTATACTGGGAAGAGTTTTAACCTCCTTATTGACATCTGCTCAGTTATTCAAGTGGAAAGGATCTATGCCACAATTGAAGTGATTTAGAACAACATAGTAAAGAATGATGGCCAAGATAAGTTGTATACAATCTTTATGAATATTTCAGATTGTGTATTATCCTTTTTCTGTGCCCTAAACTGAAAAAAAAAGCAATTTCTAATATAAGAAGTTCTCAGATAAGGGTAATATTTTGACAGTAGTCAGTTATCTACCACTTATGGTTGTAACCTCTACTTCTCTCTTGGGGCTAATTGTATCGAACAGCCTTCAGTGCATTGAAGATTACTTTATTCTGTGAGTTTCTTATCTTCTACCTCATACCAGTGTTTAAGGGTAAAATGCATTTTAAGAGATGTCAGAGTAAGACTAACATTTTAAATATCTATTATTAATAACATTTAACTTTTGGGTGAGGCCGTACTTGGGTTTGAACTCAGGGCCTACACCTTGAGCCCTCCACCAGTCCCTTCACCTTGAGCCCCTCCACCAGTCCCTTTTCGTGATGGTTTTTTTTTTGAGATAGGGTCTCTCGAACTATTTGCCTGGGTTGGCTTCAAACCATTATCCTATTGATCTCTGCCTCCTGAGTAGCTAGGATTACAGGTGTGAGCCACCGTTGCCCAGCTAGTTAACATAACTTTTAAAGCTAGCAATTCCATAAGTTATACTGTTGGAATTAAAATGTGCCATATGAGATTGGTGCTTCCTCAGATACAGAAAGCTTTTTTTTTTTCCCAGATACCATCCATTAAACACTATCTATTCCCATGGCCATATATAGTCTCTTAGTGACTAAGAGAAATTAATAAAAGTTTGTTTAAACCAATGGTTTCTTCTCTTTTAAATATAGGTGGTAAGGGGCAAGAGTCGGTTCTTCAGTAACAATGTAAGAGATTCACTCTGATGACTGCTACGTTAGTAAGTGGGTGAAGTAAGGTCTGGCTTTACTGTGACCACATTGACCCTTGATTCAGTTCCTGCCCCATCACTGATTATATCCTGAGTATATTCACCTAATACTTTAGTGGGTGCTTTGAGGATCTGTGAAAAGTAGGAGATTTGGTCCCATATGTGAAGAAATTTTAATCTAGTAGAGAAGATCAAACTGTTACCTGACAACTAGGGAACAGTCTGATTTCACTGACACCTGGCCTTAACTTCTCAATTGTTGATTGAGGAATATATTTCAACCAGAGACATGACTTTCTGACAAACACCAGCAATATCATGGACCCTAGAAATTCACTTTTATTTAAATTCATTGGATCCTTAGGACATCCACCTTACTTTACATTCTGTAATAGCACTATATCAGATTCATGAAAATGGGAAAAGTGGTAGAGAAATGGTATCCTTTCCACCGCTGAAAGTATGATGTATTAAGAAGGAATGAGTCTTTTACATCTCTCTTCTAAAGCTGGGCCTGGTGGTGCACATCTGAAATCTCATCAGTCAGGAGACTGAGTCAGGAAGATAATGAGTTCAAGGCCAGCCTGGGCTATGTAGAAAGACCCTGTCTCAAGGAAAAAAGAAAAACCACAATTCTAATGTGGTATCAATTACATGAGCTAGCACTTAGAAATTCAGGGATATTTGGTCTTTACCCATATGGACTTGAGCTGCTTGCTTAATTGGTATAATTTGCTACATATTAGCATTATGTTTATAAGGATTTTGTTTTATTAACCATTACAAATTTTACAAACAGCTTATAGTAGGGTAAACAGATTGTTATGCCTCTTTTACAAACTTGAGTATAATTCTGGTATTTCTATGGATACATGTACGACTTTTTTTCCTAATTTCAACATTATGTATATAGCAAATTCAGTCATATAATTTTTAAATGCCATCAATAGAAAGCATGCAAAACTGATTTTTAATTGTAGCTTCTGATTTCTTTTATTTCTGATTCTTTTCATTCTTCTTAGATGTAGCTGAGTCTTGATCATTCCAAGACAATGGCAAGTGGAATTTTGACATTTGATATTAATTTCCCTCTTCATAAATCAATTTGAGTCCTTTCTTTCACTTAACTTTTGTCCAGAAGAATCAAGAATTCCACCATCCGTTGGTCTTTGTACAGTGTTAAAGAAAAGTAGACTCAACCATTAAGACACTAGATAATTTTTAGTTCATGGGATTATAAACATTAAGCTTTTGAATGAGAATCTTTTGACTGCATAATCTATAGCCTCAAACTAGTATTTACTATGGATTCACTGAGGAAAAGGAACAGCTTTTTCCCTTAATTATCTTTTCCTTTTTACTATTTCAGATTTGCTATCAGTAGCTGTTTTTTAAAGCCATCAAAGGAAAGCAAGTCTTTACAGTTCTTTTTAAAAAGTCATTTTTGAGCACTCATCAGGCTGTTATTGTGATTGTGACTCTTTTTGTTGTTGTTAAAAGCCTATTAATGTTGAAGGTCTTTTACAGAAGCCAACTTGGAAAACAACCTTAAATGTTGGTGCACCAGGTTTGGTTTATCCAGCTACAGAAGAAAATTAAAAACAAGAACCTGAGTTTACTTTGCTTATATATATGTATATATATACAAGTAAAAAATATATATATATTTTACATATATATATACACACACACATTATAATACATAGTATGTTTCTTGTAAACTGCTAGGTAAAACCTCAATAAAAGTGTACTGTACTTCTTGATGTTTATTAAAATATGTATTTTTACAAGTTTCCGCTTCTGTTCTTTTCTCAGCTTTAAATTAATCTGTTTTGAGAAATATTTCTTAAGTGTATGTAAACTGATGATAACACAGTTCCATTTAAAGCCCTGCAGAAATTGGAAAGGTAAATATGAAATTATTCTAGAACTGTCAAGACCCTTGATCCATTTCTAAGTGTGGCTCTAGGAGTTCCCTGGAATATTTTAACAGTTCACAAAAAAACACTGAGTGAAGTCCTATGCCAGATTTGCCTCATCAGTGGACTTCTCTAATGGCCTGTGATCTTGGAGATTGGAGGTTCTCAGATAGTTTAAATAAGGGAACTTTCCTTATTCCAAAGTTTGATGTTACCAGAAGTGGCAGGCAAGACACTTCAACATTTTCTAAACCTGTAATGAGCTTTTAGTTTTGGATTATAGCCATCTGGAGACATTCTCACAAAATCTCCTTACTGAAACCCACAGCTCTGTGATAGTATACTAGATGGTGGAGCCATACGTTTTACAGGAAATCAAAAGCTACTTCAAGTTGGGTATCTGCATCTAATTACATGAAGGCACAACAATCCAGTCTACCCTCTGTTCAGTATGTTCACTCCAGGTGACTAAATGCTAGAGAATCCTTTTATGATAACCATACAAGAAACAGGTTTATCAACCAGAAGTTGCAACAGTTATCTAAGACCAGTTTTTAAAAATGAGCCCTGCACAGAGCTTGGAAAAAAGCCTGATTTCAGTGCTGCCACAGGGAGAGTACCAGGTGAGCCCAGCACATCTTGTTCTATCAGAAAGTAAGGAAATGCTCAAAGAATCATGAAGGCTCATCAGATTACACAGCAGCTATCTCAAACGAGCCACCACTGCCACTGGTCAATTAGAGTATCAAAATAAATTATAGTAATGGGTTGCAGCCTATTGAATAAAACAGAACTATGTGACCACGTTAGTAGAAATAAGTGGGAAAGAAAGAAAAGCTTACAGTTAAATTTTTAAAATGAGAGAAAAACATAACTGGTTATGTGAAAGAGGTCCTTGATTCAACTGGTCTCTTGTGTTCCCAACCTGCTAACCTGCTTTTCTGGCTGCTTCTGCTTCTGCTTTTAAGGACTCAAAGGTAGCAGTGGAGTACTGGAGCCAAGTGGTACTGACCAATAAGAACCAACTGGGCACATCTCTTCCCAGCACCTTGAGCAGTGACACCATTTTAGTAGCTTGAAACTGGTAGAGTATTTATGCTCCAGAAGTTGGTAAATGCTACAAGTTAGGGCTTTTCTTTTACCACTGCTCCAGAGAAGAAAATTTGCTGAGTTTTGTGTTAATTGATGAGGAAACTAAGAATCATAGAAAATGTTGAGAGTTGTAAAATTTTATCTGTGATGAATGGACCGTTTGAAATGGCCCCATAATAGATCACTGTCTTTAGTGTTGCTCCATCTCCCTCCCTACATGAACCCATCCTATACACAGACAACAGAATGATCCTAATAAAATGTAACTGACCTAATTTCTTCCATACTTAACATATCCCCTCAAGAGTGTAAGCTCTTGCTTTAAGTCCAAATGGAAAGTCTCTTTGCAGTGGGATAAACAGAAGTACATAAAAGAATTTGGGGCCAGGAAAAGCAGACTGCCTGGTATAGCCCAGAGACATAGGTGTTATTTAGAAGGAGGAATTTTTCATGGGGTCCAAAGCTAGTCAGATTCTTAGGATTATTGACATTGATAATATCTCACAAAACTAATGTTTTAAGGGAATCCAATAATAGTAGGGAATATCTATTTTCTGTCACTAAAATTGACACATTCCTTATTCCAGAATTTCTGTTTCCTACATTATGGAAAGAGACAAATAAACATAGCTAGTCACTAAGGTAGCCCCCAATGATCCCATCTTTTGTTGTTCATACCCATTGTAGTCCCATCCCCCATTGAAAGGGCTTACTTATGTTACCAAAAGGGTTTTGCAGAAATGATAGTAGGTGATTTCTGAAATTATAGTCCATAAAGGACATGGTAGCTTTAGCTGAAGCTACATGAAGTACATGGATCATGTACTCTTCAGGAAAGCCGGTCACAAGATTGTGAGGACACATGGAGCTGAATGATTAACATAGGAGGAACCCTCTCCCATGCCACCAACCAGTACCAATTTTCAGCCATGTCAGAGAACCATCTTGAAGGTAGATTTTCCCAAACCCAGAGAGAATGTCAGATGACTGCAGCCCTGACCAACATATTTTTTAAAACAGTGTTATATTAGCACATATTAATTATACAGAGGGATCTCATGATATTTCTATATATGCATATAATTTACTTAAATCACTCCATTATACTTACCCTCTTTCCCCCTTTTAAACAGTTTTAATGAGTTTTATTATTTTATTCTGACACATGTTTATGACATAGTTTGATTGTATTTACCCCCACCTCACCCTCTCCTTTTACCCTCTCACTGGTTCTTCTCCCAAACAGTGCCCCCACTTTACATTCATGTCATTCTTTTTTTAACGTATAGATTCCACATATGAGAGAGAATGTGAAATACTTGTTTTTCTCCATCTGGCTTATTTCACTTAACATGATTTCCAGTTCCATCCATTTTCCTGCAAATGACATAATTTCATTCTTTATGGATGTATATCTTTCCGTATCTATAAAGGTATATAGATTCACTTCCTGGTAAACCTCTTAATTGCAACCTGATTGAGAGACCCAGTCTAAAGAATTACTTATTTCTATGTTATGAGGCATTTTGAGCTTTCCTTGTTCC